CAATCATTTTTTATTGAATAATACGTGAAACTGAGCTGCGAAGTCATAAAATTAATTGCAAGTTGAATTAGAAATACGAAACAATTCATATTGCTGCATGCTTCGTAATTGCAAATAATTAAATTAAATGCCTTGGCATAAATTTTGAATTGAACTAGCTAAGGATTGTCTAATTGAATGATATGAAGACAAAGTGGTGGTAAGATTAAAATTTGGAGAAACAGAGAAAACTATTTTCTTCTACATATATAGAAGTGCTAAATACTCAATATTAATACTTTATAGTCCACTTTTTCTTGTGAAAACCATTTAATTTGGCAGTCATAATTTTTTCTTTATTTGTTAAATCTTTTAATTTTATTATATTAGTGTCGTTAACTCCTATACAGGAGCTAATGATACTAACATAGCAAAGTTAGCCACTAAAAAATAAAAACAAAAAATTAAAGGAGAGCACATATAACAACCTCTAAAATGTGTTTTTTTGTTTTTTCCATCGTTGTATTCTATTTATATTAACGTAATAAATTTGGTATTAATCACCTTTAATTTTAGGACGTAAGTGGTGGTGAGATTAAATCCCACCTTCACCAATTGCTCCAAAAAATTCCTCTCGGCTCATGAACATTCCTCGTTCTGGCGGGGAGTTGTGCTGCTGATAATATTTAATCTCTAATGAGGGACTCTTGACTCTTTTCTTTCTATAAATGAGTTATTTTTAATCTTTTTACTTGAATTTTAAATCCCATTTTTGAATCGGTTCCTTGTAAGAATATATTGATTTTAAGTACTTTAGGGAGATTTAGCATGTTCAAGATTTCTTTCGAGTCATTTTCTCTAACTATTTTCTTCTTGATGTGTTAACAACATTGGGTTTGGGTGATTGCATTTTGTCCTCGGTGCATCGGGCGGAGAATATTATATTCTACCTTTATGCTTTTGTTATTTTCCTCTCGTCTTTTCCCTCACTTTTCTCCTTTCGAAGCAAATTATCATTGCCACTCCCAATCATCCACCGTTTCCCGCATTAATTCTATATCCATCTACATACATTTTATGTAACTTTTTCCATTATTATCTGGTTATATAATATTAATTAGTTAAAAATATATCTATTAAATATATCTAATTAAGTCTTTTAGTATTTACATTTTTTCAATAATATATTCACTCTTTTCATTTTTATATAATTTTAATTTTAATATAAAACAAATGTATTTTTCAGTCATTTTACATCTAATGTGCTTTTCAAATATATCCAAATAAATTTCATTTTGTCTTGCTGATTTTTGTTAACAAAAACCCGTACAGACATAAATTACATTGTAATACTTGATTCTTACTCCAATTTTAATTTGTAATAAAAGTCATTTTTAGCAACATTATATTTAATAATGTTTTATCAACATTTGAAATTTAAATATCAATATTTTTTGTTAACAGTCTTAAGTTAAAAGACTGAAAAAAAATTTATAAAATTAAAATATCAAAATCAAAGCTTGTTAAAAGTTATTGGGTTGAAGATATATTTGTGTCAAAGTGATATGAGATTTTATATGAATTTTTAAAAATATTTAAATTATAGGATTAATACAATTTTTGGTCTCTCAGATTTTGTTCTTATTTTTATTTTGGTCTATAAATTTTATTTTATTTAAAATATTAATCCTTATAATTTAATAAATATTGAGGCTATTTAATGAGCAGGATCCTGTATATATTAGTGGGGTACACACTGCAATTATTCTGTTTGCCTCTAATGCTGGTGGGAGATACGTGCTTTTTGCGTGAGATTATGCTTTATGGTAAAACCATTCAAGCCGTGAAAACCAGCGCTAGCTTCAATGTAATCCATATTCTCAAGTGTTGGAATACTCGCCATATGATCAATAATGCGGTCTTGGGATGGGGGCATGCGCTCGAAAGATCGAGCTGCGCTCTTTGGAAATCCTTCAAGGGGACCAAGTAGGGGGGGCTCACTTCGGCAAAGACGCCTGTTATTGATCTGATGTTCTTCACATACATTGAACGTCGTGCTTTTGATTGTGGAAATTAATACAACTGGCATAATTAGTAGGTGATCTAGTGTACTAAATCAACGTATTAGTTTAAGCAAAAAATAATTAAATGAAAATAACTTCTGATCCGCACGCTTGTTCTTGAAAAGAGTGTTTAAATGTCCAAAAGAAAAAAGATAGAAAAGAAGGAAGTGACAAAAGAAGTGTATGGGTCCGCCAAATGTTAGGTATTATAAAGTTTAGAAGACTTCCTGTTGCCCAGTTTGGATTCACATGAGCGTGGGCCAGCTACTTGTAATTATATGCTTCGACACTATAAAATAATTAGATTGGATGAGTTGGCATGAACTTAGAATTAGAACAGCTACAGATTTTATGATTGACTCATATAAATATGAAGTGATGGTAAAGTGAAAATTCAGAGAAACCCGGGGGGGGGGGGGGGGATCATTTTCTTTTACAAATATATGAGCGCTGAATGCTTAATACTGAACACTTAATGTTTTCCTGGCATCCATGTTATTAGATATGGTAGTATAATCTTTTTTTTTTTTTCCCCGTTTAAGTAATGTACTTTGTGCTTGGTACATCGGGCAAAAAAATTTGGTTAAAAAGTTGGAGCCCTGGAGTTATAGTGTTGGGGAGAAAAATGGAAACCCAAAATAGGTGAAAACACCTTTGACAACCTTATGATAAAGTAATTAGATAAGTGAATTTGAGAGAAATAAAGCTTAAAACACTAGTATGATGAGAGACACGCTTTCTCTAACTTGTATTCTTCTTGGTTAACTAATTATCTTTTCACATTGGGATTTGATTGGAATGTTGGCAAGTTGACGAGGCATAATTGCTTTGTGTTGTGGTGATTTCTTTAAGAAAAGACAAAAGCGTTTTAGCAGAATCTGGACATGATATACAATCCAGATGATGGACTCAGTATTCCATAAACTCATTCCATCCTGTAATGCCACCAAATCATAATATTAATTGGTGAGATTTTGGGAAAGCAATTTTGGAAGGACTAATAAAGATGACATTGGCAAAAGTGTAAAACCAAATAATCAACTTTCTGTTTCGTTGGTTTTTAACTAGACAACCCAAAAAAACTGTACCTGATGAATTGGTTCATCCCAAGGTGTTTCTCAAGACATGTACTTTGTCCTTGCCTCACAAATGATGAATTCAATAGCCCTTTCAATGATAAAGAAATTAAAATGGTCACTCTAATGTTGATACTGTCTCATCTTCAATGCTGTAAATAACAGAACAACAAGCAGAAAATTTAAATAATACAGCTCAAAATCCTAAACAACCAACGGAAAATATACATGATTGGTGAAATAGATGAATCTAAAGAGCCACGCAGCATTTAAGAAGCTCTCACGTCAGACGAGTGGAGACAACCTACAAAAGAGGCCGAATATAATGCTCTATTAAAAATAAAAAAACATGGTTACTTGTACGATAATCAGGACAAGGCAATGTAGTTGAATTTGATGAAACATTTATCCCAGTCTTGAAAACATCTTCACTGAGGGTTGTGCTTGCTATTGATGTTACTTTTGGACGGCAAATTTGGCAGATGGATATTAATAATGCCTTTTTAAATTGAGTTCTACAAGAACGTGTCTTGATGAGGCAACCAGAGGGATTGGAGTTCAAAATTTCCTCATTATGTTTGTTTGCTGAGTAAAGCATATCCTTACATCTATGTGGATGGCATTATTGTGACTGGAGATTCATCAAGGCTACTGAACTTGATCATCAACCCACTCAATACTCTGTTTACTTTAAAAGACTTGGGACAACTACTTCATTTTTGGGCCTAAGTCTTGGGTCTTTCATGCTCGGTCAAAATACATAGAGTTTACCAACAGGGGTTGGGTTTAGTAGAATGGGCTAGTCTCTCACAACGTGTTGAATCAAGATTCGAATTCCTACTGGAAGAGGTGCCTACATTTAGTGCCTGATAGTGCCTCGAATAGGATTGCCTCTAATAGGAGAATACCTATGTTTTAGCAAAAAAAAAAAAAACATAGAGCTTTGTGTTCATAAATTGAGAGAGCCGGTACTTGTTTGACCATTTTATTCTTCTCGTCTGATTTATTGGAACAATGTGCTTTTGAATAGTTTGAACTTCAAACTGTATTGTCGGATGTTATTGTGTCGGGAACATTTTGAACTTTGATGTTCTTGCTTGTTGAAATCTCATAGTCTATAAAAATTAAGCATATTGTACATTATCAAAGTAGTATCTGAAATTCTCAACACATCTAAAGGCGCCAGACTTGTGCTATTAACTTTACAATCAATGCAATTAAATGAAAAGCTGGCTAAGTTGTTTGAATATCAACCTCTGCGTGCTTGTGGGCTAAGCTGATTAAGTGATTAGCATTTGTTCTTTATGCTAACATGCTGTATGCAGTTGCAAGCCATGGTGCATACATTTCCATATTTGAAGGTTTGAATGTTGTTTGAATATTGGTTTTTACCTTTCCTTTTCTTTTATCAATAGACTTGCAAAATAAAATTAACTCCCTTTTCCATTTTCCAGCACGGTATTCAATTTCTTGAACAAATTCTTCAAAATAGGAAATTAGATTTTATAGAGTGGGTCATTAATCACTATTGCTACAGAATTTGCACTAACATAAATTAACTTTCTAGAACATGGTTTTGTACGTGATTTGCCACATGGAGAATTATCAGGATGTGTTCAACACTCTTCAGTTTTCTGAGCCATCTCATACTATGCAAGTTGATGCTATGGCCTGATCAGATGGTGTAGAAAGCACAAATTTGCAGATCTATTGGATAGATTTCTCCTACCACTGTCCAAAATTAAATACTCTGAAGACCTACAAGTAAATTCCTTTCGAATTTTAGGGTTTATTATTCTTTTTTGACTGTTTCTGTTGATTTATTTTTGCTGATATGACTCCTCTTTCGCATGTCTTCTAATTGCCACAAATAGAGGCAGATATGAGACGTCAAAGTGACAGGAAAGAGCAAGAGGAGAAGAAAGCACGGAAAGTTGAATTTGCCTCTGGGGGAGCACAACCAGGAATTGTAACTGGTGTTCCAAGGATCAATGTACCCATTGCAGGCTATAAAGCAACCTAGTTCACCTATGGTATAGCAAAGGTCATTCTTACTGTAGGGTTTCAGTCAGCTAAATGGTTGGTTTTATTTTGGTTAGAATTGTCATTACAAAATGCACCACCAAATGGCGTTATACTGGTATATCTATGAGCTTTTTTTTTTTTTTGGGGATAATTCTTAATGCATGCGAGAGAGTAGACAAGTGATGTTTTGCGTTTTTATTGGATCCAGAAAGCATGCTCTTCTCTCGCTGTTGTCAGTGTGAATGGTGCCAATGGCATAGGCAAGTAAACCGAAAGATAAAATAAAGGGCATCAAGAGTAATTTTGTTAACTGATATCAAGAAAGTAAAATATAGTGAATGTAAATGTTAGGTATTTCATTCATTCTAACTAACAGTTTAATATTTGACCTAATAAAATTTTCTTCATTATTGCTTACCATTATCTTTTGAAATTCGGACCGTAATAGATAGATTGGCATGATTTAAATCTTATTTCTAAATTGGGGTGAAAAAATAACTTATCTCTTATCTAGCCTGCTCACAGTTTAAGTCCCAATCAATTACACAACGTAAATGATAGATATAAACCTTATATTTAATTTCATTTATTGTTTTTTGTGCCAAATGAATGGTTTCAAACAATTCTCAAGAACTTCATGGTCAATTGTGACCAATCTCATTGAACTAATTAATAATCTAAATAACACAATTAAGCGCACCACACTGATGTTGAATGAAAGCTTTATAATCACAACACACCAATTTTTGAGTCTTTAGCACATTAATGAAAACAAACCACACTTTGGGCAGAGTTTTGTCATGCATCACCCAGTTGTTTATGATAAAAACAGAGTCTCATTTATCAAATGATTGAGAATTCAATAAAAGCATCACAGCACAAACATCTGTCCATATTCATCAGCTTCTAGTCAATGATTTTGTAGTCCACACCTCGGATTAGCCACCTGCATTAATCAAGCGAGGAAACGAAAAATACTATTGAGTGTATTCTACAAATATTCATGTTATCAAATATAAATCATTTTGTAGTTAATGCGTCAAAAACCCTTATTTGTTTTCTTACTTTGAAAACTGTTTTTTGTTTTTAAAATTAAAAAAAAATAACAAGGCTTGTTTTGTAATTTGTTGTTAATTAAGTGTTTTTAAAAACCAAAAAACAGATATTTGTAAAAACTCAAAAACGAAAACAACTTTTAATTATTTTCTTGTTTTTCTTTTCACATTTCCTTTTTTTTTGTTTGGAAAAATGGGAAAACCTTTTTTTTCTCTATTTAAAAACTTGAGTTCTCATTGAAACTTCACTTTCCAGTCTCAATATATTTATTTTCAAATGTAGATTCTTGAAACAATTAACCGAGCAGATTTTCCGAAACAATATTTGTTAGTGTGGGTATGTCATACCTTTACTGAGGATAGCATTTCTATTGTTTTGTTAAGGTCCCCTTTATCCTTCCATTTCATCTCATGCTCTTCTATTTTTACTCCAGACAACTCTGGTGTTTCCAATACTCCTGGACAAAACATCTTCATTTCAAGACATCCAATTAGTTCTATCACTTCCAATTTAGGGAATTCAAATGTCTGACTCTGTGAAGAGAACATCTTCAAGCTTGGCATATTAGTAAGTTTGATCTCTCGCAATTGATTGAATGTGATTCCACCTTCTACACCTTCATTGTTCTCATTCAATACAATTTCCTCCATCTTTTTGCAATCATTTATCTCCAACCCTACGAGACTCACCAAGCTTTTGGCAGTTGAACTTGTCACCAAATAGACGAGTTGATGACATCCAGATATAGACAGCTTCCACAAATTTTGAAATGAAGCAGAGGATGGTGCCAACTTGACCAAGCTATGACAACTTTCGACTTCCAGCCATTGTATTAGGTCTTGATGAATTGGTGGTAGCTGAGAATCATCCTTCCATATGCTCTTGAGTTGATCCAAATAGGCAATGTGTAATTCTTCAACTGGTGGGATTTTTCCCATAAAATCAAGAATCTCATCCTGTGAGGGGAATATCTGCTCAAAAGAACTATGTTCCACATAAAGCTCATCCAACTTCGGAAATCTTTCAAGAAAGCTATAGGGAAAAGTTACCCCTTCATCGTTGAAGCTTTCTACATAAAGAGTTCTCACTTCAGGAAAGACATCCCTTATCATTGTGATATTCTTCGCATTTAAAGCCATGCTTTCGGTTGTGGAAATTACCTGTAAAATCATAATCAGTAAAACAATTACCATAATGAGTAGGCGGTTTAGTAAATTACATCAAGATATTGTTTTCAAGAATTAAAACTTTTCAATGGATCACTCGTCTTTTGCTAATATCAAAAATTTTCATAATTTCACCATGAAATAACATCCACACCTTAAAATTTAAAAAATCCTTTAAATTAACTTCACAGCCCCTTTCCTTCATCTAAGTTAAATTGAAAAAAAAATTCCATAATTTCCTTGGAATTCACATCTAGGGCTGGCCTTTTTTTACTATGAAAATAACCTGTTCAAAGATTATTGGTAAAATTAATATTATAAGAAGGTAGTTTAATAAATCAGGTCAGAATATTTTTTAAAATAATAATTTCTTAATTTATTGTAGATAAAATCTTTCTTAATTGACTGGTTATCTTTTTCTAGTACTTATATTTTTCATCATTAATCCCCCCAAAAAAATCACGTTAAAAAAAAATTCTTTGAATCAGTTTATAGGCCCATTTCTTTCCAGTCAGAGATCTACAAATATTATCACACTATTACAGTAGTTTGCCACATCCATTAATCATCATTTGCTTATCAGATTTCGTGTGAAATCAGAGTCTTGTAATTTGATGAAAAGTTTATAATTTTTGGGTAGACGACAGAATGTCCAAACTTGAATATTTATATTGATATTTATCTGATCCTAAATTTTGTAGATGATGAGGAATTATCTAAAAAATGAAAAATAAGAATATCAGTATGTTGGACTAACCTCTTGAATAGTAAACCGGTGTTGGATGGTGGCATTAAGATCAGTCATCCAAATATCTATGTTAGATTCTCCATATTCACTCGTCACTCGAACATTTTGAAGCTGTGGGGCATGAATGGCTCCGGAACAGAATGTCGTGAGTTGAGGGCACTCTGTTATGGTTACAGATTGTAATAATGGAAACTTGAAAGTATAATTTTGGCTGCAAAATCTCTTCAATCTTGGTAATCCATGAAGTTTCAAAAGCTCCAATTTGCTGAAAATGATATCTGTGTCCTCATTGTCCTCTTCCTGTCTCGGTATAATTTCTTCAATTTGATTTTGACAGCATATGGATGGTGCCAACACATTCTTCAATTTTGGCAAACAGATTAACCTTAACTCTTTCAGTGGCACAGCCATCGATGATGACACAATCTCTTTATAATCATTTAAATCTTCAAAATAAAACACCGTCTCCAACATGCGACAAAACTTGACTTCCAGTTCTTCCAAGTTGTTTAAATATTTCAGCACATGAAGGGGCACCAATTTCACAATGTCACAACGACTCACACAAAATGTTTTCAAGTTGCCAAATGAGTTGGGTGAAGGTTTGTCATCCCATATCGGCGGAACCAGACTGTTTAAAGAGTGTAATTCTAATATCTCTAACTTTGGGAATGACACCTGTTGAAAGAAAATATAATTAAACGAAAATCTTTTAGCAAAAAATGAAAACGAAGTTACTGTTGATTTGCGAGGCTTAGTGTTCATGAAAGATTGTTTAAATGTGTAAGTTTAGATCTCGTGTACCGCAATATTCTTCAAGAGATTGATAAAAGTTCAGCTTCAAATTTCAAGTTCACCAAACAGAAATAACTAACTAAAAAACGAGAGAATTATAAAATGCTACAATAGCTAGCTTAATGCCAAAGTAAGTAATTTAAGTGAAATAATTTTTGTAGAAATATTGAGACAAGGAAAAATAGAACATATTTGTACTGAACAGAGTAAATAATTCCAGTGAAATTAATTTTCACAACGTAAGTTTGAAATTAAGAAGTTAATAAGATAAGAAAATCTTGGTAAGGAAAAAATATACAAGATAAGAAAAAAATAAATTAATTTTTTGTCCCGAAAAAACAATAATAAATTGATTAGTAAAATATTCTGGCCTCCTTTGCATTGAAAATAAGTAATTTAGTGAGTGGAAATTTGGTTAATTCTTTAAATAAATATATAATTGACTAAATAAGTTATAAATATTTCTCATTTGCTTAAAAAATTTAAAATTTAAATTTAAATAATTTCTATAATCTATCAGACTTAGATAATCTATATTATATGATGAAAAGAATATGTATTCAACATATTTTTTAGCCATTTAAAGAAACCTAAATAAATTAATTTCAATGTGCGTGACAAACAATTAAAATTATAAAATTTTATAATAGAATTAAAATTAAAACATTTTATTACATTTCAAAAAGTCTGAAAATACATGTATTAAAATTATGTTTTGTGGTATTAAAAATTATTTTTTAAAAAATGAATGTTTAAATAACTTTTACTTGAAGAAGCAGTATTTTGGTCAAAATAACAGTTTATAGGTCAAACTTAATGGTCACCTTACAGTTGGATAGATAGAAATAGAATCTCAAATCAAATATACAAAGAGAGGTTTGAACAACATATATTTTAATTTTACTGTAGTTATACATATACATATATATATAACTAATTTGACAGCCCTTATCCTTTTATCAAATTTGGAATCAGGTTCCTGTAGTCTTTTTTTAAAATTTTATTAGATCCTTGTTATTTGCTCAGTTAGTAACTAAGGTCCTTCCGTTTATAATTGCCGTTACTTTAAGTTAACAACAGTGATGTGGCATGACTAGGCACCATCTTACTTACCTCATCTGGAACACTTCCTCCCTCATTCTCTCTCTTCCTCCTCCAGTCGGTTTCCTTTTTACAGTAAAAAGCTTCATTCAGTTTCCTTCCAAACCAACACCATCATCTCTCTCTCT